GGCACCAAAACTTTGAAGCTGAAATAATGGCCGAAGGAGGAGACGGCAGCGCCCAGGACATCCATCAGCCCTCAAAGAAGACTAAATCGGAAGTATGGGCATATTTGGGATTTCTGAAAAATGCTGAGGGACAGTTAATAGAAGACGGCTATCCCGTTTGCAGAACGTGCAGGAAACAAGTGTCTGCAGAAGGCAGCAACACTTCGAATCGGATGGCACATCTGCGTGACGATCACCCACGTCTCTACAGCCAGTGCAAGGTAAGTTAACATTAGCATTTTAGCTTAAATGCATGACGTGAGGACTTTTGGTTGAGGGAGAATGCAACGAGTCACTATATACTGCAGCCGCAGCGTCCTCTGCCAGCATTTACACCGTGTCACGGACACCCTGTTGCTGGATGAAGCATCTTATTTGTTGATGATGAAGAGAAATATACAATTAGTTCCTTGTCATGGATTTGTTTACTTATTCAATGCCATTTATACTTGAACATTTGGATTTGATTACATAGTGTAGTAGTTATTTTAGTCATTTGTTTAAAGTGGCTGTTTATTTTAAATACATGTTTTTTAAGGTCGACTTGTACAGTGCTCAAGTCAAGTGTGGACTGGAGTTTTAGATTTTCATTTTGATAATGAAGAAAACAAGTATATGAGAAAACAAGTGGTGTTTCTTTGATTTGTTTACATATTGTTTATGTTTTGAATGTTTGGATTTGTATAATTTAAACCTGCACTGACTACTGTAACATGTTCCAGAAAAAGAAGCTATTTGTTCCTTTACTTGTGAAAAGTTGCACTTTTGCTAAGGCTTTGTGTTATTTTAGGTTTAATAAACACTGTTAAACCTTTTCAGAACTATTTCAGTTTGTGTAGAACAGGACTATCAATGCTTTCTGAACATATGCAACACCGTTTAAAAAATACCGCGATAATACCGAAAACCGTGATAATTTTGGTCACAATAACCGTGAGGTTAAATTTTCATACCGTGACAACCCTAGATGTCACAATGTCATTGTGAGCCTGTGTGTGTGTGTGTATGTGTTAGCGGGTCTGCCCTCTTGGTCTGCCAGGCAACAGCATTTGTTGCATTTTTCAAACATGAAGTGGGAGTGAAGTAAGTTTCTTGTAGGGGGTGACTTGCTCTTTAAAGAGCAAGTCACTCCAAATCAACATTTTCTTGCTGATAAACGATATAAATGAGTGTCTGATTGTGCTGTAGACAAATGTAGTCAATAATTTGGCGCTTTAGTGCATCTTAGTTAAAATTTAAATATTCTGCCTAAAACTGTCAGCGATGCACCGTCGTCAGGTAAAAACTCAGCACTGCATTTGAATTTAAATCTGCCATCGCTATTGGCTAAGAGGTATACTATGATGTTAGATGGTACATTATGATGTCACAATGTTTTGAGTGTGTGTATTTGGTAGCAGCTCCACCCTCTCGGTCTGCTAGGCAACAGCATTTGTTGCATTTTTCAAACAGGAAGTGGGAGTGGAGTAAGAATCTGGAAGGGGGTGACTTGCTCTTTAAAGAAACTACAAATAAGTTTTCCAGCTTTTGGCCCCTGCTGGTTGAAAGTGGAATTACAGCTACCATAAACAGCCCCGCCGCTTCCTGCTGTAGCTAGCGCTAACAACAAGCTAATGCTATCATGAGCCATCTGATACTAAACTAGCCACAAAGTAAAAAGATCCACACTTTTGGATAAAAATACATTATTACTTACAGTAGCAACAAAGCCAGGTCACCATTAGCCCGTGGTTTCATAACCTCCTTTAGCTCCCTCAAACTAGCGTAGGCCGTGCCGATGCTCACTCTGGTTTTAGCTCTTTGCTGCACCTCCAAAGACATTACTCTCTTACCTTTGCTTCCAGGCTCCGCCATGATGCCAACTACAAAAGCGAATTTCTTTTTCTTCTTGTGCTTTTTATTAATGGTCAACAAACTGAAAAAAGCCCACTGATAGCCTTTTTGTCAGCTACCGTCCGTCACAGTAAACAGCTATAGCCGTAAAGCAGATTAGTGTCCCTACTCATTCCACAAAAATGTTAAATGGCCTCGCCTCTGTCAGTGCGCCCCAGGGCAGCTGTGGCTACATCGTAGCTCATCCCCACCAGTGTGTGAATGTGTGTAAATGGGTGAATGACTGATTGTGTTGTAAAGCGCCTTGGGGGGTTCCAGGACTCTAGCAGGCGCTATATCAAATACAGGCCATTTACCATTTATTTATTTTTAATCCAGCGTGGTAACAATGCTACTTTAATAACAGAAGCTCACGTTTTATGTTCTAAATCTGTATAATTTCACCGTTCAGCCCTGCAGCTGACGGTTTTTTGTCTTCATGCTGAGCACCTGCGGTCTAGATGCCACGATTTCTTCAGTTTTCTGCGTAGAAACCTCACATCTCGCTGCTGTCGCTGATCTACGAGCCTCTGAGGACAGACGTGTTGTTCGATAAAAATAATAAATGAAACTTGAAACCACAATGACTGAATCCAGATCTCCAGCGTCTCTTTAGGCTACACTGAGTTCAGTTTGGTTCACCGACGTTGCTGTGAGATGGCTTTAAAACTCATCTCGCTGTGTGGGAAAGTCTCATCTGGGATTTCTGGGTTCGCAGCTCGACTGGGAGACTCGTCTCCCGCTCTGAAGCGTCTAACAGCTTCCAGATGAAGGTGGGCTTTAGTGACGTTTTAAAAAATCCAGTTTTATTTCTGCAGAAAACAGTGTGAATTTCCTGTCCACATGGCGGAAACCTCCCACAAAGGCACACCAATGTGGTCTCGGAGGTCCGCTAGTGAGAGCTTAAGGGTGAGTTCACCTAAGGTCAGGTGCGTCCAAGATGCCCGTTAGCTTAGTAATTCAAATAATCCAATAAATAATTGAAGGAATCAGAAAGTATTTAGCTGGTGCTTTAAAATGTGTTTTTCAGTTAAATAAAAACGCGTTTTAATGATTATTCTGATTATGATCGAGATTCTCGTGCAGGCTGAACATGAAAATATGGGCCATTCCCATCTGTACCGGGTCGGCCCGGGCCGGGTAGCCCCAGTCGGCCCCAGCCTGGCCCGGTTGATTCCACACATCCTTGTCTTAAGCCCATGTGGGCTGATTCTACCCACCAATCAGAGGCTTGCTCTAATGGAAGGTGTGAATTTGCTGTCAGCAGTGGGTGTGTTGGCCCTGGTCGGCCTGAAGCAGACCCCCTCGAGAAGACGGCCGAGAATGAGCCTTGGTTGGCCCGGAAAAACACCAGACCACCCAGATATGTAAACAACCTACGCTACCCGGCCCGGGCCGACCCGGTACAGATGGGAATGGCCCATTAGTCAACCGACGCGCCGTTCCTCTGACCTAAAAGTTGCCCACATCACAGCTGAGCTGCAGACGGCGGTGATGAGTCTTGTTTCCTGATATTTGGACATCTCACCTCTGATTGGACAACAGCAACGCAACTCTACCACTGACTTGCTTCATGGATGGTTTCAGGGTGAGACACACACGTTTGACCCTCTGTACACGCTCTCACGCCACACCGCCGGTATCTCATACTGATGAATCAACCCCCCAATCCCACACCACACCCTGCGCGCACGCACCCCCCACTCCCGATCTCATGCGTGGAAAAGTTTAAAGTTGGCTGTTTTATCTCCTCAAATAACACAAGCCTGGAGGAGTTCTGCCCTGTGGTGGAGTTGCTAATGCTGACGGTTAGCTTCTACTAGCCGAGACATTTTCTGCTGTTTCCTGGAGGCTAAACCAACAACAGCCTTCCCCGTCGTGAGGCAAGATGGGTGAGTCCAGGAAGTGACAGTGTGTCGTAGGTCTGTCGGGCTTTTCCAATCCTAGAGTTTCACCGTCTGTTTTCTATCAGAAGCTAATGCAGGAGACAGGTGTAGGAGACTATTTCCATCTTCAGCCTGCATGAAATGTTCAGAGTGACCCGTTAGAATCAAGAATAAACTAGAAACTTAGTCTTATTTCTTAAAAATGTGTGTTTTTCTCTTTTGATTGAAAATCTCTCTTCCTCTCTTTGCTTTATTACGTTTACGGCTGTTTGGTTTGTAGACTTTATTGTCGTAACAAAATCACGGCGGTCGCTCCAGCAGACAGACGCTTCGAACCACATCAAACCTCCTCTGATGTCTTTCGCCTTACGAGTGGTTTTACCGGCCGATGTTCGGCTTTCTCGCTCCGTGTTTGTTGGCGTGTGAAGAGAGATCATAAAACCAGCCGTTCTGTCATCCGCGTTGAAGTGTTGCAGCGCCTTGAAGCTCCTCGTTGGGCCGAGGGGCCGACCACAGGACCGTTCAAGCGGTCGTTATTTCTGCTCTCTTGTTTTCCCTCTCCTCCGTTTTCCATCCTTTACTGTTTCCTGTGTGAAAGGAGCCACTCCGTGTTTGTTTTGGCGAAGACGCCGGCCTCTACTTGCCCCGGTTCCTCCTCTACCTCCACTTTGCCTTCCTCCCTGTTTGCAGCGTCTTCTGTGCTCTTCTCCAGCTGTTTATCCTCTCGTTGCCGCTCGCCGGCTTCGCTGGGCGTCTGCTGCTGATTTATGGCTGCAGAATCCGTTGAGACGGATGAATTATTCTCCATGTTCTGTAAATTTGTTCATGCCGCTGGTCTTCAGGGTTATGGTAGCCATGGAGAGCTCAATCGAAGGAGTTCCATTTATGAAATATTCCTTATTTCTAACGTCAGTGAGGATGCGAGGACTAAGAGAGCAGGAGGGAAACCTCAGCGGCTCTGAGGCATAAATAAAAATGTTAGTTTTGGACCTTCTGGCCTGCAGCAGCTCACGTTTGGCTCCCCGGACACCTGCTAGCACACATCACTGCCCCTACTGCTGCTTTGGGTGGATTTATGGACTGCTGCTGCTAACAACAACCTGCGATTTATTTAACAGTTCTTCTCTTATTCCTGTCGACTGATGGAGATCGAGCTTTATTGTTTTTGTTGTCACCGTCGACCCTCGCTTTCCCGTCTCACAGAGCCTCGGCTGCGATGAGTACCTGGGATCGGGGAAGGCGGTGGACAGGTGTGGCGTTTGCGGAGGCGACAACACGACCTGCAGGCTCGTCTCCGGAGACTACAGACACAGTTTATCCAAGATCGGCTACCACAGAATAGTGGAGATCCCGGAGGGAGCCAGGAAGATCAACGTTACGGAGATGATGAAGAGCAGGAACTATCTGGGTGGGTAAAACCTCCAAACCATTCGACAACAGACAGATTCAGATCTGCAGGATTAACGTCATCATAAATGTGTGAGTGAGTGGGTGAAAGTGAGTTTTAGTTCCTTATATATAAAAGCCATTTGTTATTTATAATTTACTCTTGGCTGTAACTGGACTAGCCGTTAGCTCATCAATCACAGAGTGAAGACATGGTTGTGTGTTGCCCTATGATGGGCTGGCTACCTGTCCAGGGTGTACCTTGCCTGCCCCCGTGACCCCGTGTGGACGAGCGGGTATAGACAATGGTTTTATGGATGGAGAAACTATTCCTTCAGAAGTTGCTCTTTCAAAATAAAAGCCACGTGTTGGACAGATGTTCCTTTAAAACGTTTATTGCTACAGAATTTTACAGGAAACAGAAGCAAAACTTGGTCTGGAATCAGCGACAGACTCTTCTCTGTCCCAGAAGCTGTTTTATGTTCTTCTGAATAGGCTTCTGTTCTCTCTGTGGACATCTAATAGTCCTCTTAGCTGTCCAAACACTCTCTCACAAGCCTGTCTAATGTTGCACTCCTAATGCTTTCCTAAAGGCTTCACGGTTTTAATCCATGAAATCAGTGGACATAATCTCGGGAGATGTCCTTACAGGATTTGCATGAAGGATCTGGTAAAGCTTTGAAAAACGAGCACCACGTCATCCTCAATTAGCTGCATTGGTTTTATTTTGGCGAGGCTGGTGCTGATGCTGTGGTCCTTAACCTTCGGTCTCCTCCAGCGCTGCGAAGTCGTTCGGGGACATCCATTATCAACGGAAACTGGGCTGTTGACCGACCCGGGAAGTACGAGGGTGGTGGGACCGTGTTCACCTACCGCAGACCCAACGAGATCAGCAGCACCGCCGGGGAATCCTTCCTCGCTGAAGGCCCCACCAACGAAATCCTGGATGTTTATGTGAGTAAAAAGTTAATAAATCTCTCAAAACCACAAATTATTTAGGGACAGCTTGATGGTCTCCTCCACATTTCCCCAGATGATATTCCAGCAGCCTAATCCAGGCGTTCACTATGAGTACATCATCCCGTCTGAGAAACCAGTCCCACCTCAGCATCCAGACCACAGGCCTGAAGGTTAAACTCACTCATTCATCATCATTAATGGAACGAATCGATTCGTATAATCCTCAACCAGGACTCTAATCTAGTGGATCCTGTGTTTTAGAGAAAGCTGGACACGATGGACATGAGCAGCAGGAAAACTCTACATCTGGGAGGAACCCCCCTCGTCGCCCTGACAACCAGGTGCCTGTCGTCCAGCCCCCCAGAAGGGAGAGAGAGTACAACTGGAAGATGACTGGAGCTACAGAGTGCAGCGCCTCCTGTGGAAAAGGTTAGAAACTGCAGCTTAAGAGCCTTGATTCTACTCATCTGGTCATGGTTTTGTTTGCTTCAGCGCCCCGCAGCTCTGAGGAAAAATCAGATGAACACACGGTTGAATCAGGAATAATGTGCTGTGATGTTTGCTTCGGGTGGAGGGTTGGGTGTAGATAGAATTAGTAAAAACTGTAAGGAATTCCCCCACAGGGAACAAGTTGCTTTGGTGTGAGAAACATCGACATATACATATAAAAAATGTTTTGGAAGAGAAATGGGAGGTGGCCACCACCGCCATTTTGACCGTGTCACAGGTTCCGTCAAGCCCAGACAATTCCACAAAAGAGAAGAGAGGTGGAGCTGAGGGTGGGGCTGTAAGGCTGGGATCAAATGACGACTCCCGGTCGAACTAGCTACAAGCTAACCTGAAGCTAACCCAAAGCTAACACAGAGGTGGGAGCTAAGCTAATGGAGGTAGCTACCTAGCTACAACTGGAGCTAATTCTGTGCAACACTAGCGACCTGAAGCTCACACGGAGTTTGTGTTGAGGTTTGCGGCGCTTTTTCATGAAAACTATCTTTCTGTGAGTAAAACACTATTAAATCAGTAAGTTTTTAAGTTATTTCCTTAATGAAAATATATTTTCCTTTGAGCAAGTTTTCAATATTTTAACGTACCGTATTTTCCGGACTATGGAACCCTAACTGATAACAATAACAGAATAAACAACGCGGGCGCAGCAGCACGCCACGGTCTCCAGTAGAGGATGGTGAGGTTTGAAACCCTGCCAGCGGAACAGGGGAGCTCATTCCTGGTCCAGAGCCGGCCCGCAGCAGCGCGGTATAGCCTACATAATTTGGTATATAAGTCGCAGGACCGGTCAGACTATGAAAAAAAGTGCAACTTATAGTCTGGAAAATACGGTAGTTATTAGTATTTGAGATAAATTAGCAGGCTAAATACATTTCATATGTTTCTAAAACTGTGTGAGAAAGGAGAAAAACTCATCAGAGGATTTTTGTCAGATCTCTCGCTGACTCAGCCCAACTTCCACAGACTTTAGCTAAACCCCCTGAGACCTCCTGAAAAAAAATCATAATTAAAATAAAAAGTTAAAGTAGCTGAAATAAATAACAAAAATAACTAAAAGTAAACAATGACAATTGAGATTTAAAACCATTTCCCTAAATAATAAAAGCGGGTCTCATAAGACCTGGTGGTTACCATGGTGACCCTAATGAGCCACTAGCAGCAGATTTAACATTTCTTTTGATCTTAGTTTCATTTACAGTTCTCATGCGGTTTATACAAATCAAATTAGAGATAGGGTGAGAAGCTCGGTCATCTGGGAGGGGACTGGAGTAGACCCGCTGCTCCTCCACATCGAGAGGAGCCAGCTGAGGTGGCTCGGTTATCTAGTTAGGATGCCTCCTGGACGCCTTCCTGGTGAGGTTTTCCAGGCACGTCTAACTGGGAGAACACCCAAGAGAAGACCAGGACACGCTGGAGAGACTATGTCTGCTGGTCAGGGAACATCCCGGGATTCCCCCGGAGGAGTTGACTCAAGTAGCTGGGGAGAGGGAGTTCTGGGCCTCCAGCTTAGGCTGCTGCCCCTGCGACCCGACCCCGGATAATCAAATCACATAAATTCTTGTTACATGATTAAAAAGTTAAAGCAATAGCCATTTCACCATTTTCCTAAATCTGTCATATTTTAGTTGTTTTTCAGCTGCCGCTCAGAGTCAAGACCATCTGATCCAAAAGCAAAAATGTAGAGCAGCCAACAAAACGAGTTGTAGTGGGTTCAGTGACCTTTTGGCTAGCCAAGCTGCACGGAGCTGAAAGTCTTTGTTTCAGGTTTCAGGTATCCCACGTTTCACTGCGTCCGGCGGCTGAATCACATCCAGGTTTCTGACGGTCTGTGTGACAGCAGCAGCCGACCCGCGCAGCAGGAGGAGGCCTGCAACCTGCAGCCGTGCCCGGCGTTGTGAGAATCCTTTCTGCTGTTGTTGCAAAGTTCAGATTTCTGCTGCATTTCAGTTCAAAATGCAGTTTAACGCAATAAAATACAGAAAACTCAGCTAATGAAGACTGCTCCTCACAGCTTATAGAACCAGGAAGTATCTGGTTCTGATGCTTTGGCGCCAGGTCGGTACGAACATCATGTTTCTGTGTGGTTAGCTGGGACATCGGCGAGTGGTCAGAGTGCAGTAAGACCTGTGGCCTGGGCATGCAGCACCGGCAGGTTCTGTGTCGTCAGGTGTACGCCAACAGATCCCTCAACGTCCACGCGAGCCGGTGCCGACACCTGGAGCGGCCCGAAACAGCCAGCACCTGCCAGCTGAAGATCTGCAGCGAGTGGCAAGTCCGCTCCGATTGGACCGCTGTGAGTCCGAATCACACGTTCGTGTGCTACGGAAGCCCAGAGACACAAAAAGTAGAAATAGAAAAGTCAAACTCTCTTAAGTACAAAAATATTAATCGTTGCTATTTTTTATTTCTAATTCAGGAAAGATAAACAAACAAAACAAAACCAGATCTAAAAGCGTTTGTAGTAGACTGTAGTTCGTCTCCACAGTGCTCGGCGCCATGTGGGTTGGGTCAAAGGTCAAGAGAGGTGCATTGTGTCAGCAACGTGGGCGACTTTGTTCTGGATGAAGAGTGCAACATGAATCTGCGCCCCGCCGATGTGGAAAACTGTGACATGGGGCCGTGTGCCAAGAGCTGGTTCTACACCGAGTGGGCCAACAAGGTTTGTGCGGGCGTGGCTAAGAGACCGCTGCTTTGATCTGAACATCATCGATGCTTCAAACCAGCATAGATGTGTGTCGATTACTTGTTTATTTCTTGGTAAATTAACCTTTCGCACATTCATTATCAGTTATTTCTGCTTCACTGATGACGTTAAAGCTGAAAACAACACAAACCCAGAGATTCTGTTTATCTCACCAGCAGTGGCGTGTCCAGGCCTTTTAAAGTAGGGGGGCACTTTTTTGTTGATGGGAGGCACCTGTGGTTATGCAGTTGTTTTTATAAAGGGGAAGTCACCCCTCACAAAATCATTCTTTTTGCATTCTAGTGAATTTGTGAGCTCCACACTGCATGCTACATGGTGCCACCTACTTTTTGGGGGTTTATAATCCCCAGCCTTAAAGAGCAAGTCACCCTCTACCAGATTCTTACTCCACTCCCACTTCCTGTATGAAAAATGTAACAAATGCTGTTGCCTAGCAGACCGAACACACACACAGGCTCACAACCAGTGTTGCCAACTGTTTTTGACAGAAAGTAGCTGAAGTTCCCCCCAAAGTCGCTAGATGTCGCCAGATGATGTCACGTGCTAATTAACATGCAGCGCAATGACGTCATCTGGTTGCGTGACGACGTCACCACGTTTGCGTCGTGACGTCACCGGTCTTGTAGAGTAAATCAAATAAAACCCACGTGATTTTATTTAAAAAATGTATTTGTTTATTTTTTAATATTTTATTAAAATAAAACTCCATAGAATACAAAACAGCAGCATTTAAAACATCAAGGAAAGATGGCACAAAAAATGGAAGAAATATTTATATTTTGTCTGAAGAGAATGGAACTCTTAAACACAAAAATATTAAATTGATAGGAATGTATGTACGATTTAATTAAAATGAATATTCTGTTGTAGTTTTCAAGTGCCTTGAGATGTATTCTTCTGTTATGATTCAGTGCTATATATTGACCTAAAATTAATATATATATATATATATATATATATATATATATATATATATATATTGTTTTTGTTTGGTTTTGTTGTTTTTAGTACTTTTGTGTAAAAAGAAGCAGGTCGTATTTAGTATCCAGAAACGTAACATGCAAACTGCCAATGACCTGAGGTGTTTCTTACAGTATTATTCTGTTTTTTATAAAATTTTTAAATGTGCTACGTTATTGAACTCATCATAGTGTTCCAATGTTCCTTGAATGCACCACAAGTGGTGCGAGAAGCCATGTGTGAGTGCGACCCTGGTGCCAGCCGAGCTCAGCTGCCAAAATGTGACAGGATGGCAGAAGGAGCGGTCGCCCTTTATGTATCTCCGTTGGCTATCTCAAATAATGGACTTGCGAAAACCCACAAAAGGTTTGATTGGTCAATGGGGGTAGCGTGATCATGCTGCACGCACATGCGCAGATCATTTTCTTTCTGATCCTCTGGAAGAAAGGATGGTCCTGTCGCTTCAGATGCCTCGCTAATCTGCAGGTGAAGTCTGCTACAAAGTTGTAGTCAAAGTGGGGGGGGGGGGGGGGGGGGGGGGTCAGAAATGTCACCAGATTTGTCGCTAGGCGCTTTTGTGAAAAAACGTCGTTAACGGGGTCTGAAAAGTCGTTAGAAATGGCGATAAAGTCGCTAAGTTGGCAACACTGCTCACAACGACATTGTGACATCATATGGTACCAGCTAACGTTCTAGGGTAGCTCTTAGCCAATAGCGATGACAGATTTAAATTCAAATGCAGTGCAGAGTTTTTACCTGACAACGACACAACACTGACAGTTTTAGGCAGAAAATGTAAATTTTAACTAAAATGCACTAAAATGCAAAACTATTGACTACACGTGTCTGCAGCACGATTAGACACGCATTTATATAGTTTATCAGGAAAAAATGAGTTGATTTGGGGGTGACTTGCTCTTTAACTTTAAGTAGAACTCAGTGGGTGGGTGGGGGGCACCTGGGGTGGCTAATCGGATTTGAAGTGTGGCATGTGCTACTCCAGGCCACTCCGTGGACACGCCCCTGGTCACCAGGCTTGGGAGTGATGACTGATTAGAACTTTTACTCCTTCAGTGTTCTGCTGAATGTGGTATGGGTGTTCGCAGCAGGGGGGTCCTCTGCCTGAACAACCACATCAGCAGCCTCCCCCTGGAGGGCTGTGGCAGCGAGCGCCCTGCAGACTCTCAGGTCTGCAACAGCGGCCCGTGTGAGAACGCCATCGAGTGGTTCACGGGTCCCTGGAGTCAGGTAGGAGCGGAATGGGGTTCGCCAGGGTCGGGGAGGAATTCGGCATCCAGCTCTTGATTTTTGTGATCCAGTGTTCTGCAGAGTGTGGTCCAGGCAGCCAGCAGAGGTCAGTGGTGTGTTTAATGAAGTCAGATGAAGGATTCACCCTCATGCCGCCGTACGAATGCTCGTCTTTGGACCGGCCGCTCAGCCAGCAGAGCTGCAACCTGAAGGTCTGCGGAGCTAAGTGGTACCACACGGACTGGAGCTCTGTGAGTGGAATCACAAACATTCCTGTTTGGAAAACTGTAGCAACAATGAGCAGGAGTTTCACTGGACAAGTTTAATTACCACATTTTAATAACCGGACTAATACTTGCTGTTAATTCCATCCATGGGTAACTGTCTCATCGGGGCCTCGCGTTGATCAGATTAGAAAGATGAAAACCATCAGAGTGGCTCTCGTTTGCTGATATTTATAATGACGTATGTAAATATAATCTAATTATTCACGGTTAATTACAGATATTTAGATATGTTTCTGAATATTTAGATGTAACTTTGTATTTTTAGTTTAATTGCAAATATTGAGATTTTTTTTAAATACTTAGAGAAATATTTAAGATTCTACATTTCTAAATGTGAATTTATTAGTAGATGTAGATTTGATTTTAAATAACTAACTTTTTTATATGATTTGTTTCCAAATATTGATATTTATATAATTATAAAATGTAGATTAAAATTTAAATTTTTAGTTTCTAACCAGAATATTTAGATTATAATGTTTACATTTAATTTAAAAAAAGGGGTCTTCATATATATATATATATATATATATATATATATATATATATATATATATATATATATATATATATAAATTCTAAACATGGATATATAATGATGAATATTTTGTATTGATATTGAATAGCATTAATTGATTTTTTTATTTCAGTATAAAATGTTTGTTTTCAATATTTACACATTTGGTTTAAAATATTTAAATGAAATTTTTCATATTTTCAGGTAAATGTAAATATTTATTTGAATCTAAATGTGGGAAGGAGATTTTTAAAGAGCAAGTCACCTCCTACCAGATTCTTACTCAACTCCCACTTCCTGTTTGAAAAATGCAACAAATGCCTAGCAGACCGAGAGGGCGGAGCCGCTAACAAATACACACACTCACGACATTGTGACATCATAATGTACCAGCTAACATCATAGTGTACCTCTTAGCCAATAGCGATGGTAGATTTTAATTCAAATGCAGTGCAGTTTTTACCTGAAGAGGGTGCATCACTGACAGTTTTATTTTACCTAAGATGCACTTAAATGCCGAATTATTGACTACACGTGTCTGCAGCACGATCAGACACTCATTTATATAGTTTATCCTCAAAAAAATGTTGATTTGGGGTGACTTGCGCTTTAAGCGTTGCTTCACCATCATTATCACCATAGTAACAAGATGTTTGATCAGATTTCTGGTAGTTTTTTCCAGATTTAAATGATCTGTTTGCTTACTTTACATTTATTACTGTTAACATTTACCAAATGAGACGTCGCTGAAGTAAAGCTGTACGAAATCAGCTAAAGAAGTGTAACAGAAGCTGAGACAGAAACCCGCGGTTCTCCACGGCGTGATGACAGAATCGTTCTGTTTACACGATCCTGACTCCTGATTCGTGTTGCTCCAGTGTTCAAAGACCTGCGAGGGAGGTTTCCGCGTGCGGGAGGTCCGCTGTCTCTCTGACGACACGCTGTCCTCTGAGGGTTGTGATGAGCAGCTGAGACCAGCGGCGAGGGAGGACTGCAGCCCCGAACCCTGCACACCTCACGTCGGTCAGTCCGCTTTCCTCGTGCTGTCTGGAAAAGCGCCGAGCTCGCCGGTTCCTGATGGCTTTAGCATCCCTGCCAACACGTGATCCTGAGAACCAACGAAGTTTGTTTGTTTGTTTCAGACGAGAACTGCAGGGATCAGTACTTCAACTGTAACGTGGTGGTCCAGGCCCGCCTCTGCGTGTACGACTACTATAAAACCACATGCTGTGCTTCCTGTTCACGCATGGCCCACAAACAGACCGTGCGTCGAGGCCGCAGCTAGCGCGCTCTACCGGGCTGAGCCAGAATCAGGACCCGACCCGGCCTGGGGAAGAGGACAGGCAGGACCTCGCTAACAGCAGACTCAATGATGCTGATGCTGAAGAAGACTGATGAATCTGGAGAAACAGTTCTCAGTTTGGGACGAGGAAGATCCAGATTTATCCTGCATCTTTTGTTTCTCTTTGGGGGCCAATCAGCAGCTGCTCTGTGAGGGAGAAACCATTTAACTGTTTGTGGAGCAGATCTGCAGAACGTTTCTTCCACATCACAGCGTTGAGATCTCTGCTCTGATGAGACACGAAGAGGATGCTGCTGAACCAGGAATCACGACGGGGTTAAACGGAGAGCACGCCTCTGTTCAGATGAATGCAGGTTAACGGAAAGGACAGTTTAGCTTTTCAAAGTGTGCTTCTGTGTAAAAGTTCTAAATCATTTCTGTCCGACTCTTTGCAGAAAGCTAGTTTAGATGCAACAGGACTGATGGGCTAACAGCTAGGATGACTGTTAAAACAGCTTCTAAATTTCACGACATTTTACACAAGAGTGCAAAAACTAAAAAAAAAAAGTACTATTTCACATGATTCCTCAAGTTGAGAAACTATTTTGTCCTATTTGATGAACATATTAAATAAAAGTTTCTTCATGACAGTAACTGAACACATTTCTACTTAAACGCGGAGGCTGCTATTAAAGCAGAGAAGAGCTGCTAGCTTAGTAAGGAATATAGATGCTGAAGCTCGCCATCAGGACTCAGAAAGGAACTATTTATGAATTTTACACAGAAACCATGACTGAATTATCCCCAGGGTTGGTGGAGTAAAGGCAGCTGATGATTAAAAATGTAAATGCGTTTGAACGACTGAGATAAAAGTTGTTCTGGTTGAATCCGTTATCAGCTGTTGGTTTGTTTCACGTTAACAAACAGTAACGTCGTTAGACCTTCCCTCCAAACGTACCTCTCGTTCACCAGTACTGCACATCTGTTCCCGCTCCGGAGGATCCAGCTGACGTAACCTCAGGAGAGAAAACGCCTTCCAGAAGTGTTCAGGAGGGGGCGGGGCTTAAAAGAAAAGCAGGGTTATAATGCAGCTCATGACTCAAATGGTCATTTTCCAGCTTGTGAGTTGTTGTTTCACTGGAATAAACGGTTACATAACACCAGCTTCTGTTTGTCATTCCTGAATGTTGGTGATGTGATCTCTGTGCTACCAAATCAAGGATGGAGAGGGATGGGAGTCAGAGGTTATCAGCTGGAATGCTTCCTCTGGATCAGGAGAACATGATGGATGCATGGAGGAAGAGACGGACTTATGGATCAGGACTTCGGCAGCTGAGGAGGATGTTGAATTTACTAGTCCGTTTACGTTTCAACCCCCACCTTTGGTCATGAGATGTTGGATCACACCAGCAAGAAGGAGATCCCGGAAACAAGCAGCTGGAATGATCTTCAGACTTAAGCCTGACTCATGCTTCTCCGTCTGCGTCAGCGCGGAGACACGCAACGTCCTTGCGGGCCTGCTGGAGAGCTCCGCGAGTACGGACGGAGTCGAGCTCTCTTTTCTAAACATCCGTCAGTCGAGACGGACAACGCAAGCTTGTGATTGGTCAGGGCGCCGCTGTCGTCTACACCGCCGCCATCGCGCCCTCAAAAACATAAAGTAAACCGAGGATAACTAGCGGCAGACACGGAGAAGCTTGAAGCCTCGCAAAAAACTCTAAAAACATGAACGTTTAACTCCCCGTGACTGGAGGAGTGAAAAGATGCGCAGCAAACGTTTTATTTGTGGACGGAAATGACAGGAAACGTGGGTTTAGAGGTGGCGAGCGCATGAAGAGGTGGAGGAGGATGAGAGACAAATTTGTCTGTGTTAAAAAGTCTCTTATATACAAAAAACACAATATAAACACACGATCTTGGACCGATACATGACAGGATACCACAGAACAGCGCTACGCCCTCTGGTGTCCTGGCGGGGAATTGCTTTGCAACACTCCCCAGGAGACGGAGAAGTATGAGAGCAAAACGCTTCCGTCAACCCGTGTCTGTCCCTTGCGGAGCTGACGGAGAAGCATGAACCAGGCTTAAGCCGTAGAGTTCAGCTGAGGAGGTCATCAAAGCTGCTGCTCTTGATCAGAAAGAGTTTGCTGAGGAGGTTCTGGAATGGACGATGTTGGGATTCTCCATGAGGAGTTGGGAGATGAAGAGGGAGGTCAGACGTTCCTTCCTGGTCAGCCTGTCACTATTTTTGGCCTCTGGCTTTCGGATGGGACACAATCTCCAACCCTTTCTCTGAGCTATTCGGCCCAAAGAAAACTTATCAGATGTAATTCGGATTTCACGCCTTCAGGAGTTCTAAAAGTTTCTGATCAACATAAAGACGAATGAGTGAAATATTTATTAATTATGTTGCCAGTCGGGGTTGTAAAAGGCTCCTAAAACTTTTAGCACACATCAGAATCAAACCACGAGGTGTTGAAATGTCCAAGGTCTACCTAAATTTATCAACTGTAAATCTGGACAAGTGACTTATTTGGTGTGAGAGCTGTTGCACCAGCATACTTCTGGTGACTTCTGTCTGACACGAAGAACTTATTTATTAAAGAGTCACTCGATCGGTGTTTGGAAAACGGCACACATCGTAAAAACATGTTTGTTGTGTTGCTGTTCCTCGTGTCCTGCCAGAGACGCCACTGGAAGCAAACAAACAATGTAATAACGTGTTTATATAAGAAACTAAACCAGTATGACATTCCCGACTCTGTCCACAACCAGAGGGTCTCTCCTCGCCTGGAAATCAAGAGAAGGAAGTTTTCAGGAGGCCGGATCCTGAGTGTCGTTGCACGATATTTCCACCAGGGGGCAGAAGAGGACAGACAAAACCTTTAATGTGTTCACTTTTCGGAAAACAGTTTAAATGCTGGTAAATTCAGATTATCACCTGGTAGGCTGTAGATTAACCTTCAGAAATTATCCACTCTGTAATCCTGTCTAGATTATGTTTAAACTGAAACTGAATCTGTTTAATCAATAGATTTATTCAACAATGAAAACCAACAAAAGACCAGACAGGGTTTTGTGCTTTATCGCTTACTGCCATCTAGTGGTCACAGTGTTATTTACAACTGAAAGTTTCCATGGTTGTGATACAAATACAGCTGTTCAGGAGCTTTGATATGTGTGTGTGTGTGTGTGTGTGTGTGTGTGTGTGTGTGTGTGTGTGTGTGTGTGTGTGTGTGTGTGTGTGTGTGTGTGTGTGTGTGTGTGTGTGTGTGTGTGTGCGTGCGTGCGTGCGTGCGTGTGTGTGTGTGTGTGTGTGTGTGTGTGTGTGTGTGTGTGTGTGTGTGTGTGTGTGTGTGTGCGCGCGCTTGTATTTGTACCCTTGTGAAACCGGATTTGGGATATTTACTAACCTTCTTATGACCGATGGTCCTTGTTAGGACCAAAACCCAGTCTTAATACGGAGTACTCCCTAGGGGTGAGGTATACAGATAAGATGTGAATTGAGTTTTTGTTACTGACAACTTTAGGAATACACTGGTTAGGGTTAGGCATAGTGGACTCACTAAAATGAATGGAAGTCAATACAAAGTCCCAACATGGGTACAAATACAAGAATGTGTGTGTGTGTGTGTGTGTGTGTGTGTGTGTGTGTGTGAGAGAGAGAGAGAGAGAGAGAGAGAGAGAGAGAGAGAGAGAGAGAGAGAGAGAGAGAGAGAGAGAGAGAGAGAGAGAGAGAGAGAGAGAGAGAGAGAGAGAGAGAGAGAGAGAGAGAGAGAGAGAGAGAGAGAGAGAGAGAGAGAGAGAGAGAGAGAGAGAGAGAGAGAGAGAGAGAGAGAGAGAGAGAGAGAAACACCAGAGCCGGATTAACGCAAAGGCAAAGTAGGCACGTGCCTAGGGCCTGATTGGCTGGATGGGGCCCAGACAGAGGGACAAAATTAAAAATTAATTTAAAATTAAATGTACAAATCTCCTATGATATAATTTGTGGATAGGACTCCTATCTACAGTTTATTTCAATATTTATTAATTAACTAAAAATAGTGATATTGTTTATCTTAACCATAGACCGTTACATTAGCTATGTCACATTAACGCCAGGCCATGACTGTATTCTACAACTTGGGCGCCACCCAATGAAGGACGTCAGAGAAGCGGTCAGTCAGAGCGGGACACAACAAAGCTAGCAGGTGTTTTTGAGTAGGCTAACTTTCACGATGCTTTCGGGTGTGGCAAAACGTAAAAAGAAAAAAAAATGAAGAGGAACAAAAGGAGAGACGGCGGGGGCTTTACAGAAGCTTCTGTCGGGCTGCTCGGGCTGCCGTCCGACAGCTGTGAACCTGCCCGAGTCAGCAGAGCCAGAGGCCAGACCCAGAGCAGACACAGCCCGAAGATGCGACGGGAAATGCGGCGGAAGACGCTGTAGCACCAACGCCGTCACAGAAGGATGAACTGGAAGAACAGCAGCCAGCCAGAAGTGAGCCCAATCTAGTCTTACAGCAGGAGCCTCTAGACCCAGAAAGGGTGTTAACAAGCTACATCTGATCCTGCAGTGGTACATAACCAAACTGATGACAGGATGCGTGAGTACTTTGCACTAAACCATCCCTCTCAAAATATTGCATATTTCTCTGCATCACAGAGGAAATGTGGAGACACAAACCGAAGCTTAACCAAGGAACATTTCTTTAGACGTGTTTCTGCTGCGACTGAGGCCTGTGATGCTGGAAGGCTGAAGATTATCCCGGAGTGGAGCATGCTAAATGGTTTCCTTGGTAAGTGTTGCTGGTTTTATTAATTTTTATTTCTAAATATTTTTATTAATGTTCAAATAACAAAACTAACAATAAGTTCACACTCAGAAAATAGACATTTCTGATTCAGCAGAGGCAATAACAGCCTGAATGAGCATAAAGCAAGATCAAAACTTAAGATAACGTTTTCATTTTATTAAAATACTTTCTTTTAAGATTATAGATTGTATTAAACTTATACTGTAATAATTTAAGCTGCGTGTTTATAGTTTGTTTTTGCGCCTTTAAAACATGCTTCAGTCCATTCAAATGAATCCATTTCTTCTTGAATGTCTTTCCACCATCATGTGATTGATTTGTCAACATTTATAAATGTTGTAAGCTGTTGTATTTTGCAGAAAATCTTTTTAATTAAATGTGTTGATTAAATGTAAACAGAGCAAATAAGATGAATATATTTGCTCTGTTTACATAGTATAATGACACCTAGTGGTTATTTACTGGAACCGCCTTGACATTGACACTCACAATGGATAAGATGAGGATAATTTATTAGCATTTAATACAGCTGTGTAATGACGTATAATTAATATAAAAAATTGTCTGATAGAATGTTTTACATACAAACAACCAATTTGTAACCAAAGACTAGGCTACGTAAAATGTGAATGAACCTTTATAAGTAACTTTGGTAAGTTTCAGATTTCAATTCATTAAATAACATCGATGGGGGGGGGGGGGGGGGGGCATAAAATGCAGCGTGCCTAGTGTAGTCCATTTATTTAATCCAGCTCTGACTGGACAGATGTTCATGAAACTCGCAGGATGTATTTATTGGATTTCCGTTTACAGCTGATCAACCTTTGGAGTCGGTCTCATCCACACTGAAAAAGTCCTACTGTGGATCAACTTTAACAAGTCCTTCAATCAGGTTTACCTAAAAAATCAGAAGTAATATTTTACTAATTGAAGCCTTGCATACCTAACCCCGCATATCTAATATTTATCAGTGCAAGATGGCCGTCGCAGCTAACCAAACATCGCTAATACGTGAATGGCTGAGTACCTGCTGGAAAAGCCAGCGTAGTTGGTAAGAGCATGTTGTGCTTGGTGCTGGTGGATGCTGGTCAAGCTTGCTGGTGCAGCATCCAGTCATCACAGTCGCACGCTGGAAACGCAACATGTTCTCAAAATCAGCTTTGCTGTTTATCCATCCGGGACTCCATCCGCCTTATGAACGCTGTGCATCAACTATTACGGTGTTTTCTTTCCAGGAACACTACTGACACTCTGATGCAGCTCGGCCCAACCACTGTTCCCAAAGGCACGGTTCGGTATTTTCCCTCAACTTTCTCCCTTATTTTTAGCCCCTGCCTCATTGAGGTACCTGGCAAGAATGAGTTGGG